CAGGATTTTTGAAGTGAAACTTCCTACACGAGTTCGGAGATGGTTGTGTTAAATATTTAACATAAGGTCACAAAATCTGCATCTGAAGATGAAGATGAAGATGAGGATGAAGATGAAGATGAAGATGAAGATGAAGATGAAGATGAAGAAGAAGAAGAAGAAGAAGAAGAAGAAGATGAATGATAAAGATGAGTATAAAGATAAGAAGACTGTTATGATCGACTTGTAATTCTCGCAGGAGATTTCATCGTCGAATTTTCGCTGCCCAAATCTGATGAACTGACTAAACTTTTTAAAGAAATGGTTGATGGTGGAAATGATCCAACAACCAAAGGAGCGGCTACAATTGATGCAGTTTTTTCCAGAATTATTGACAATATTGAAATAAAAGATTTCATATCTTACTTTAGTTATTACAATCTACTAGTTAATATTGTAGGTATGGATGTTTTCTCAGGCAAAAATAATATAAAAAATAAAAAAGTAAAGGCCGTTAAAAAAATTGTATATAAATATGTTTTGTATATTAGAAAATATGTGCTAGTGTATATATATCGCACATTTCTCTCCTCTTTCTCCTCTCTCTTCCTATATTCCTCTATATTAAGTTTCACTTCTTCCGCGCGACTACACGCACTGAGTTTTTTTATTTTTTTACGTGGTTTACTGTACATACATATGAACATAAATATGTCAATCAATTAAGTAGAAATGCATTTTATTTTTCAGGAGCATGCATTGAAAACTTAAACGCCAAAACCGTAAGTGTGAGACTATAATCCATTATACTTTCTACCGTCTATGTACCGATCATTACTTATTATTTTTCAAACAAGGCATATAAAAAACGCAATTATGCTGCAAAAACAAAAAAGACTACATTCTTATGGAATGAAAATGAATAACAAAATGCTCGAAGCGTTAAATTTCTTTCCGGTGACCAACACTCAAGCGCTCAGTTGCGTGGCGGCCTAGAGGCTTCGCTGATTTGGCTGTCGATGCGCATGCATGGAGGCCAATAGCAATGCAACCCCACACATATCATACGAGTAAGTGTGTTGCGAAATTGGTGGCGTTTCGGTTGTGATTTCGCAGTGCGTCTGCTTAATAGACACGCTTGTTTGTTCGAGCTACTTTATTGGTGGGTGGTTGCTTGCATCTGCGCCACATTTTCTGCTGCTTTTGCAGTTGACTGATTTTGCCACATATATACATACATACATAAGTGCCTATGCAACAAGCGATGACGAGGTATAGAAAAAAACTTATAAATACTTTTAATTATAAAAATGAAAATGAAGCCAGAGTAGGGTATTAAACTAAGAGTATCGCAAACATTCCAAAACCAAATTTGTAAGAAAAGAAAACGACTGTATAGTAAACAGAGATGCAAGTTAACTAGAGGGGCAGCAATGTAAGTATGTATATGTATGTATGCATGTGTATGCATGTGTGCATCATATAGGCACATGAATGAATGCATTAAATATGTTGCTTTCGAATGTATGAATGAAATTCATTGTTGTTGCGTTATCAGTTACGCCAGCAAGAAGAAGTTAAGAGTAATGGACATACATACATCGCTGAAGACATACCAACCAATTGTCTGGAGTATTTTATGTTTGCAGTAAAACACAGACAACATGTAGACACGAATGCAATTAAGCTTGGTGCAACAACAGTGTTATAGAGGCGCGCATGCGCAGTTGATTGTTTGCCTTGCATTTGCGTTTATGCGAGTATGTACTTGAGTTTACTTTGAAAGTTGATTGGCCTCTAATACGGCAATATATATAAGCATATATTTAGGTATCTACTTTGAATTTTTTAATACTCGCTTTGATTGCACTCTTAGAAACTTTTTTGTTAATTGCTTTCAAATTTGGACAGAATGCGAAGTTTCTGCTCCATATTAGCGTCTGATCGACAGCGTAGATGGACAAGATTACTCCCTGTACGGAACACGTAACAGCGAACGCACACCACGACATGGACTTGGACTCGAGCGGGATGTAAGCTGGGCTTTAGACTCGCTGGACACAATGTATGAGATTTCAGTAGTTGCGTGGACGAGATGCCAGAAGTCGGTGAACTTCCATACCCATTTTCCTCCGGCTCGGTTTGCCATCGTAAGATCTTTAGGGTCGCTGCAACCGGAGCAGAAGAGAAAGATGAGTTATTCAAGCTCTTGTTGTTTCATCTCGCAACTGCCACGGTGTGCCACATTTCCCTTATGGAGAGGCAAAAGGATCTGCAGAAGAATCATGCCAATCGCGTACGGAAGTATGAGCGACTCTGTAAACGAAGGGTCCTCAAACGCTTTCGCGAACGGAGCTGTCAATGCTATAAGTACCAGAACAGAGCTGCGCAATTCAATTCCCTTCTGGTGGCGAGAACATTCTTGCGACGTAGTCACCAACTCAGTCATCACCGTCCCTGGAATCCAACGAATGCGAAGCCAGTGTTGCCCCTGTTAGACGGTGAGAATCCCTCGACTTAGACAGCTGCATTAACTCCAGGGAAAAGCGACCGAAAGCACACAATCAGTAGAGGCAATTATTTTATGACACGCAAAGCGCAGAAGCGGGCGAAATCCTCACTGTCCTTTTGCCCAAGTGCTACCACGTACGAGATCCTGCGTCAAAAGAGCAGTCCCATAAGGTATAGCGTGAGGTAGGTCATCTCAGGATGGTTATCCTCGAAGCTGAAAGTATTGAATCCGATAAACAACTTCGAAACTTCTGCTGCTTTTCTTGGGTGAGGAAGGACCCTACGATAAGTGAGCAGAAGCCATACCCAACGGCAAGGTGCAGAGAAAGTAGCAATTTTGAAAAAAAATCGATTCTTCTCCTCCTGCTAATGAATATTACATAACAAAAACTAGTAGAAAGAAATATAGAGTTCCCCTAAAATGAAAAAATTGTAGAAAAAATATTATATGTATATTCGCTTTATTCGCTTACAAGGTGCAATTCACTCAGCAATTGAAGGCACGAGATCATCCGCTGCGTTATCGCTCGATTGCTCGAAAAATCAAATTCTCTGACGAAGCTCCAAGTATTCTCGGCAAAACTGCTGCACCTGGGGATCGGAAAGCCCGCACGTGATCATCGAGAAATCAATGCACCCTCAGAGAGTTACAGTTTGGTGCGGATTCGGTCAACGGTGTGCGCTACAGAGACATGATAAACGATTTTTTGTGGCCGAAAATCGAAGATAATTCGTGCGATGGAGCTAGAAACCGTCACCAAGGTCTTGGAAAACTGGGTTAACGGGATGCGCTACTTCAAAACCAGCTGAGGCAGCCACCTGAATGTAATGTTATGTTTTTTTTTTTTTAATTTTTAAAAAGAAACCAATATATGGACCACCCTTTAGCAGAGTTCCTGAGAAATTGATTTGAAAATTTTTAAGCAATATTACTGAGATTTCGGTCTTTCAAATAACAACAAATTTCGTCCATACATATAAAATTATCTATTTATGTAGTTCCATTTGTATGCACGTCAACTGCTGCTCGCCGGCAATTGGGCGGCGGAAGTGCATCGCAATTCGGTTGTAACGAGCGTTTGGCCTTTGCATGAATCCATATGAATATTTAATGCGTTTGCCACACGCCACACGCTACAGCCCAGTCCAGCCCAGCCCGGCATTTCCTTAGCAAATCATTACCCCACCACAAGTCTTCGCTTCATCAACACTATTACTGGATTTATTATTGCTCGCTAATGTTTGTTGTTATGTATGTATTTCTTAGCTTCTTCTTCTTCAACAAACTAAGGCATTTCTTCCGTTGGGGTCTCTGTTTGCTCCAAACCGGACGCACGTGTTCATTTTCATTAAAAGCAGTGCAAAGCGGGCTACATAGAAAACCAAGAAGCAAAAAAACGAATGTGTGCATATGATATGCTATAAAAAAAGTAACAACAGTAGCGCGAATACATAGAGCAATGAATGAGTGATTGCAGCAAGTACAAATAAAAAATAACCAAGTGAGTGTGTGTGTGTGTGTGTTTGTATGTTTGCTCTTGGCAGCTGTGGCTATCGCAGCTAAGCAGATGAGGCGCATGCAAGCAAATATGTATGCAACCACCGGCCAATGGCTGGCTGCGCTCAGTGAACATTGTTATTTTGTAATTTTATTGTTGTCGATTTAATTTTTTTTTTATTTGTTAATTTTATTTCGTTACTGCTGCATTTTACTGATATAAGCTAAAAAAAAGAGTTCAACAAATTGCTAAACGCCGGCGTAAGCGTTTTATAACTACTGAGCATGTGGTGCGGGCAGCCATGGCATTAGCATTCGAGTTGGCGGCCGGACGCCGCATAGAGGCCACCCAGATAGCCATCAATGAGGACGCTTTTAGTAATCATAAACTTGTTAATGCAGTGCTTAATTATTAAGCGATAAATTTATCAATTTCACAAGTATTTCAAGTGCTACTTATATTAGCGTGTTTCAGCACAGCAGCATACATATATACATAGGGGCATTCCTTTGTTCTAAATTCATATCATTAAATCGTAATTTATTAAAATTGTGTTCAGGAAATCCGAATACTTTGTTGGGAAACGTGGAAGTATGTGTGTTAGGGTGGTCCAAAATAACTTAAGTCGAAATTTGAATGCTCTCACGCCTTAGGATTGTTCTATTTCGAAGAAATATACCCCATTTTTTTATTTTGAAATCAAAAAATATTTAGAGGTCGCTCAAAGCGCTCAAAGTTTTCCATGTATTTTATGTGGGCGAAAAAATTGATAGAAATTCTCGAAGATTAGTATTTTTCGATTGGGAAACCCTGGTTCTCTTCACGAGACTTCCAATAACAATGCCCAGTGGTTTCGTATTCAACTTCTTGTTCGCGTTCGCATTTGCGTTCGGGTTCGTATTCGTTTTCTCATACGTCTTCATCGCCTTCTTCGTACTAGTGTTCATCTTTGTTTTCATTCCTGTTCATATTGTCCTCATCAACCCCTATTTCATTTTCTACTCTACATACCTTCGTAATCGCTTTCGCCTTCATATTGGTCTCGGTCTTCCTTTTGGTTTTCGTATTCCTATCCGTTTTCATCTTCGTAATTTTCTACGTGTTTGTATCTGTGTTTATCTGTGTGCAAGGAAGACACAAGCAAAAAATAGAAAACCAAACTTAAGTTTTTTCTAAGCAGTAAATAAAACTTAAACAAGTAATTTTTAAGCAAAAAACACAACTGACTTCAATTCTCATTTAAATAAAAAAATTTAGGAGTACCGTTAATTTTTTCATGATCCAATGATCGGATATAAACCAAATTAGTATGGGACACTACCTCTCCGATGGAAAATCGAAATCGGTGACCTGGTCCAAAGTTATGCGGTAACATACATACAAAAAAAAAATATTCCGACGAATTGATAACCTTCTCCTTTTTTTGAAGTCGGTTAAAAATAACTTTTGTTTACCAAACAAAATATAAAAACCACAAAAATAACTTATTTTCTGAGCAAAAAATAAAACTTTAAAAATTATCATTAAAAAGTTTTTTTTTTTTTTAATAAACGTTATAACAGTTACGGCCCCTGACTTTAGGGAGTCCTTTAAGCGCAGCCCAGATGATGCATGATTCTTGATTCTGGATTGAGCCGAAATATTTTGATGTGGAAAAAGAGAAAATTAAATAATTTATTTTTTGTGTGAAGCGTGAGGCAGCCTAATTTAATTATTTCAAAATGCATTGAAATATCACACGCCGTCTTCAAAAGAGTCACAACTCGAAATAATACGTTTGTCACAGAAAATGCGAAAACTATTCCTTAGCACATGATAATCATACGGGCAAGGGCGACTTTAAATTGGGTTTTTTTTGTTAACAAATTATAACAAAAATTTGCTCCAGCTTTTGCTGAAAGGTAAATAAAAGCTCTGCGTACATTTTTAGCGCATAATTTCAAAAATGCTAAATTTTGAGTTGTGACTCTTTTGAAGACGGTGTGCGATAGGTATGTAGTTCTGATTACATATATATATCTAAGTGAGGTGGAAGGGTTTCATTGAGTGGTCACTGTAACGACTACGGTGTCACTCATCGCTGTGTATATATGTACATACATAGTTACATGTGTATGTCTGTATGTGTATGCTTTTTTGCAAAACTCGTCAACAATTGGCTAAAGTGCACTGTTAAACTTGTGTTGCATATATCTAATTGTCTGTCATAAATAGCGTATAGTGACGAATAGGCAGATATGAATCGCACGATGGCCAATCAGTTGTACATATGTACATACATATGTACATATTTAGTGAGCGTGAAGAAGATATGCTACATTCGCATGCAACTAAATAGTATTAACGTTTAAACTTAACATGCATATATGTATTTAGTTATTGCTTACAATTTGCATGTATGAGTACCTGCAATACTGTGGTTGTTGCTTGATGTTTTACGGTGGCCTTTACTTGCTTGGTGAATGGGCTCACCACGGCCGTCGGTGATGTTCTGCTGAATGGTCAGTATGAAAGTACGTGCATACATACCATACAGACATATATAAATCCATAGGTATGTATGCAGTTCGCATTTTCGTTACCATTCGCGCATGGCACTGAGAGCGCTTTGACCTTGTTTCATTTTATTTTCCACTTTAAAAGTTTAATGGCCTCATAATGCATTTCATTAATTGTGTTTTAGTTTTAACAAATTAAAATCATCACATTTTATTGTCTGTTCAAGTACAAAGCTATGTATTTAGGGTAGTGCAGCTACATATATATGTGTGGTGAAATTGTATTGTATTTAAATGGACTTTAAACTGCCTTTCATAACTCAAACAAAAATCGAATACAGCTCCACTTAGATCAATTAAATGTCTGCGGAAATTTAGTTGTTACGCTGCTAGGGCCAGTTTTCGATTTCCTGAAAGAATTGGGAAATTTTTGCATCGGAAAAGAACAAGTTTGCTCAATAAATAGAAATGAAGATCAGATTCGTATGCCAGAAAGGCTGGTGATATAAAATTCTCACCCCTAACCATATACATATTTGGCTGGAAGATGGATTCTGAATGTACATTGGAACCTCTTGCAGACTAAAATAAAAATTATCGGTAAAAATTTAGATGAAAGAAGATCCATGAAAATGCATATAAACATAAGACTACAGAAAACGAAGTTGGCGAATGCTGGCTTCGGTCGGGATAAGATGATTTTTATTATATGTAGTTTGTCCTACGTTTGGGATAAAAATAAGTGACTAGGTACTCTTAAAGTTTAGCGTGATGTCTTTGATAGTGCTATTAAGCAGGTAGCGAAAATAATCGTTATTATGTAGGATTTTTATTTTAAAATCATTAATACTCATTTTTATTTTTTTAGATAAATTTTAATCGTTATTTTATGATTTTTTATTTTATCGATTAAAAATAATCGTTATTCAATGATTTTTATTTTTTTCGATCAAAAATAATCGTTATAATTGGATTTTTATTTTTCCGTTGATTTTTATTTTTTGATTATATTTAACCGTTATTTTCAGATTTAATTTTTTAGATCATAAAAGGTTTAAATCGACAATGAAAACACAGTCTCTATTATAACCGTCAAAAATGATCGAAAAAATCCAAAATAACGATAAAACATGATCGAAAAAATAAAAATCACATAATGAGGCATATTCTTGTTTTCGTACGAATCGAAAATTTGAAATTTTTGTATAGAAAATGATAGGAAAATTTCATGATTTTCGATTCGCCCCAATAACTATCGATTAAAAATTATCGGAAAAATAAAAATCACAAAATAACGATTAAATTAGGATTTTTATTTTAAAAATCATAACGGTTGCGGTCCCTGCTCTTAAGGCGTCTTTGCATGTATGCTAATGGATTTGCATCTGCAGCCTGTAGGTATAAGGACGAAAATCCATCATTTATGGCGTTCCTGATCTGATTGATTTTTATTAAAGGCCATGGATAGTGTAGGCAAAAGAGAGCATACGACTTGACTATATTAAAGCGCTTTCTTGACCAGACGGAGCTTGGATGTGAGCAACTGCCGCGACATTGAAACCATAAAAATGCAAGTCGCTGCACTCTGCGTTAGGATTCTGGGCCACTGTTCTCGGATAGCCAGGAGGTCAATAGGGCCATAGCGCCTTTGACAATAAGGTAAAAACTGATCAGGGAATGTTGGACTCTTTTAAACGCAGTAAGAAGTCATATCGATCTAGATTTAGTTTGGATTGTTGGTCATTTCAACATTCCCGGAAACAAAGCTGCGGACGAGCTAGTCAGAAAAGGTTCCACATTCGCCTCGATTGAGAATCGGGTCTCACCCCCAATTGGAAACATATATAGAGAGATATCTTCCCCCGAAATTTTCAGAAATCGGATCAATCCTAAGAGAACACACAACGGATCCGGTACTAAATATGTGCACGGGAAACAACCACCCCCAAAAAACAGGCTTTTATCGACTTTTTTAATCAAATTTATCAGCTTAGAAAAATATTTTCATCTTTGAACTTAATTTCACAAAAATCCGGGCCCCTGAAAACCACACCTCTCGCCGGGCCTAGTCGTAAGACAGCCAGAGCTGCCGGGTAATTCTACGCGATCCTGTATGGTTCCACCTGTGTATAGCCTTCGAGTGATAATTCAATTCTACCTTTGATCTTCCTTAACGAGGTACCCATGTCTACCGCGTGGGAGACATTCAACGTGGAGCTTCCCTCGCTTCTGACGTCCGCTGTCTCGTTTCCGTAAATGTGCCTATGTTCCGTGACCCATATTAGGGTCAGTTCTTGTTGATCAGAAATTATTGCCAGCTCTCGCCCACAGTCATCCACTAGTTCAGATCTGACAGAGATAGAAGAAAGTGCCTGAATAGCCGCTTGGCTATCTGAGAAGATATTCAACTGCATTCTCGCGGGAACATTTTCTTTGTTTTGTTTGTTTTCAGTTTGTGGTGAACCCAGGTTTTCGGTAAAGCGTTTGGGATGAAAGCGTGCCCGAACGTTCTATCCTTTTAGAGCCACAAGGCACGCAGTCTGATGGCGCTATTAGCAGCAGAGTTTTCGATGAGAATATGTATCGGTAATAAATCAACCAGGACTTTGAAAACATTATTCGGACAGGATCTCATTGCACCAGTTACGCCAGCGGCTGCTGATCTTTGAACTCCGCTTAGCTCTTAACTATATATGAAATCTTTAGTAAGGGCTGGCAACCAGACCAGCGCTGTGTACATTTAGTGCTCAATCCTTGGTTTTAAACCCGTTCCATTGTCTAACATTCTCTTGGCAGCACAGAAAGCCACCGAGGCCTTCCTTGCACGCTATTCGAATAACTTTAAGGTGAAAAGCTGAAGGTCAGCTTTCTGATGGTTTACGCCAACTGAAAAATGTATCGTCCCGGAATCCACCGTCTCTGGAGCTCTTTCCATAATTTCCTGATGCCAGTAAAGCTACATCGTCGGTATAAGCCACTACCTCGATTCTTTGAGAAGTCAGGTGTGGGGTCAACCAAAAGAAGAAGTAGAAAAAAGAGATGAAAATTTCTTCTTGAGTAAATAATTGCTTTCTAAATGTACAAGTACTTTACCAAAATTTGTGCTTATAGTTATAGCAATTAACCTCCACAAATGGGAAACGTGGGATAAAAGTGCTTTTGAGTACAAATATTTGTACCTATATATGTAGATATGTATGTATGTATGTATGTTATTTTTATCTAGAACGCAGAATGTTGTTTTGAAATGGAAGCTGGCGTGAACAAAGCACACCTTAAACAATGCCACCTATTATTCTTAACAAAAAAAAAAACGAAGCAAAGTAAAGAATGACGAATGAAAAAAAGCGTGTAAATTGCCCGAATGATGAACGCGTTGAAAAGCGTAAAGGAGGCATGAAGAGTAGGGGTGGTGGCGGCAGCAAAAGCAACAGCTTTTGTAAGCAAAACACGCACTTAACGAAAATGTTCCCACACACAGCTGTGCCGCGCTGATGCGTTGAACAATGAGAGAGCTTGTAGCGCTTGCTGATGGGCCACATTACGCATGCGCACCGACGCGACGCTTTGCTATTAAATATAACTACATAGTAAGTGCACTTACACGCGC